ACAGAGTTACAAGGTGATTATTCTTACTTGTTGGTGTTGGGAATGGTGACGAGTTGCAACATAAAAATTCTAATTTTCTTATTGCTTGGTGGTCCTTCAGATTCTTATTGTTCTTGTGGGTTTTGATAATTTGAAGCAATACGACATCAAAATCAATATTACTTTCATGTATTTTGATTTGGAAATGCACGATAAGATAGAATTGATATTGCATAAAAGCTTATAGATGATTCCTTTGAAAGTGGTATGAAGCCTCTTATGCTAGCGTTTCTCGATATTACTTTCATGTATTTTGCTTTGGAAATGCACGATAAGTTAGAATTGATAGTTAATAAAATTTTCTTATCATGCAATCATTAATTGTAGCATTTGTTTGTGCAGGAGCGTAGATTGCAACATTTTCATGATGGGATACATATATTCCATCATTAATGGCACACATTCATTCATTCATCAGGATATGAACTTCTAGAAGGGAAGATTGCGATTGCATTTGTCTCGGAGAAATCAAAAAATCTACTAGAAAATATTGTAATTATTGTGCATGTTGTAATCATGAATACATTGGTTTCAGAACCGAATGTGGATTGAGTATGAAAACATGTTTCTTTATTGAGGAATAATTAGAAATTGGATAGCATGGATAGCCTTAAAGTAGTAAACTCTGAAGCGCCTCATCTAGAAGTGTAAACATGTCAGCAGTTGCTCATTGCTTGCTTCGGATATTTGATACGATAATGTTATAAGGGCCACGAGTGGTTATATGTCTATGAAATGTTGTAATCAGTTATTTTTTTGAAGCATATTATAAGGGCCACCAGTGGTTATATGTCTATGAAATGTGTTTCAGATCTTGTATTTTGTATCAAATGTGTACATTCATAGCTCATGGTATTGTTCTATTCCAAAACTAGTGCTATTGGATAATTTTACGATATTAATTTGGTTGGTGCGCAACATTTATATATGTCTCATGTGTATGAGGTTTAGTTTTTTCAGAGGTCATGTTTTACGTATAAGAGTTGATGTTGTTATATAGAAAAAGAGATATATTATATTCACCTACGTCATGTGTCGCGTGACAAATTATCCACCTCGACGAGGGGTCCTCGCTCAATTTTCTAGCTTTTGGCAAAGTATAGTACTTTATAGGAAAGTATAGCAGCTTATTGATAAAGTATAGCCCCTTATGGCAAAGTATAGCACCTTATGACAATAGTATAGCACATTATCGATAAAGTATAGCACCTTATGGTCTCTGGATGACCTACAACTTATTGCGTTACGATAAACCAAATTAGTTTTTTTAGGGCCATGCAAACACTCAAGGATCTACGTTATGTGTCGCGTGACCAATTATCCACCTCGACGATGGGTCCTCGCTCAATTTTCCAGCTTTTGGCAAAGTATAACACTTTATGAGAAAGTATAGCAGCTTATTGATAAAGTATAAGACCTTATGACAAAGTATAGCATCTTATGGCAATAGTATAGCACCTTATCGATAAAGTATAGCACCTTATGGTCTCTAAAAATTTAGAAACTTATTGCGATAAACCAAATTAGTTTTTTTTAGGGCCATGCAAACACTCGATGACCTACGTTATGTGTCGCCTGACTAATTATCCACCTCGACGGGAGGTCCTCGCGCAATTTTGAAGCTTTGACCTACGTTATGTGTCGCCTGACTAATTATCCACCTCGACGGGAGGTCCTCGCGCAATTTTGAAGCTTTTGGCAAAGTATAGCACTTTATGGGAAAGTATAGCACCTTATGGCCAAAGTATAGTACTATATGGTAAAGTATAGCACTTTATTGGCAAAGTATAGCACCTTATTGGCAAAGTATAGTACCTTATGCTCTCTGAAAATTCTGCATCTTAAGTTGTCTAAAACCAAATCAGTTTTTTTCACCGCAACACAAACACTCGATGACCTACGTTACGTATTTATTGACCAATCATCCACCGTGACGGGAGGTCCTCGCGTAATTTTGAAGCTTTTGGCACAGTATAGCACTTTATGGGAAAGTATAGCACCTTATGGCCAAAGTATAGCACTATGTGGTAAAGTATAGTACTTTATTGACAAAGTATAGCACCTTATTAGCAAAGTATAGCGCCTTATGCTCTCTGAAAATTCTGCACCTTAAGTTGTCTAAAACCAAATCAGTTTTTATCACCGCAACGCAAACACTCGATGACCTATGTTACGTGTTTATTGACCAATCATCCACTGTGACAGGGGGTCCTCGCACAATTTTGAAGCTTTTGGTAAAGTATAGCACTTTATGGGAAAGTATAGCACTTTATGGGAAAGTATAGCACCTTATGACTAAAGTATAGCACTATATGGTAAAGTATAACACTTAATTGGCAAAGAATAGCACCTTATTGGCAAAGTATAGCATCTTATGCTCTCTGAAAATTCTGCACCTTAAGTTGTCTAAAACCAAATCAGTTTTTTTCACCGCAACGCAAACACTCGATAACCTACGTTACGTATTTATTGACCAATCATCCACCGTGATGGGGGGTTCTCGCCCAATTTTGAAGCTTTTGGCAAAGTATAGTACTTTATGGGAAAGTATAGCACCTTATAACCAAAGTATAGCACTATATGGCAAAGTATAGAAACTTTATTGGCAAAGTATAACACCTTATTGGTAAAGTATAGAACCTTATGCTCTCTGAAAATTCTGCACCTTAAGTTGTCTAAAACCAAATCAGTTTTTACACCGCAACGCAAACACTCGATGACCTACGTTACATGTTTATTGACCAATCATCCATCGTGACGGGAGGTCCTCGCATAATTTTGAAGATTTTGGCAAAGTATAGCACTTTATGGGAAAATATAGCACCTTATGACCAAAGTATAGCACTATATGCAAAGTATAGCACTTAATTGGCAAAGTATAGCACCTTATTGGCAAAGTATAGCACATTATGCTCTCTGGAAATTCTGCACCTTAAGTTATCTAAAACCAAATCAGTTTTTTTCACCGCAACACAAACACTCGATGACCTACGTTACGTATTTATTGACCAATCATCCACCGTGACGGGAGGTCCTCGCGTAATTTTGAAGCTTTTGGCAAAGTATAGCACTTTATGGGAAAGTATAGCACCTTATGACCAAAGTATAGCACTATATGGTAAAGTATAGTACTTTATTGACAAAGTATAACACCTTATTGGCAAAGTATAGCGCCTTATGCTCTCTAAAAATTCTGCACCTTAAGTTGTCTAAAACCAAATTAGTTTTTTTCACCGCAACGCAAACACTCGATGACCTACGTTACGTATTTATTGACCAATCATCCACCGCGACGGGAGGTCCTCGCGCAATTTTGAAGCTTTTGGCAAAGTATAGCACTTTATGGGAAAGTATAGCACAGTATGGCCAAAGTATAGCACTATATGGTAAAATATAACACTTTATTGACAAAGTATAGCACCTTATTGGCAAAGTATAGCGCCTTATACTCTCTGGAAATTCTGCACCTTAAGTTGTCTAAAACCAAATCAGTTTTTTTTCACCGCAATGCAAACACTCGATGACTTACGTTACGTGTTTATTGACCAATCATCCACCGCGACGGGAGGTCCTCGCGCAATTTTGAAGCTTTTGGCAAAGTATAACACTTTATGGGAAAGTATAGTACCTTATGGCCAAAGTATAGCACTATATGGTAAAGTATAGCACTTTATTAGCAAAGTATAGCACCTTATTAGCAAAGTATAGCACCTTATGCTCTCTGAAAATTCTGCACCTTAAGTTGTCTAAAACCAAATTATTATTTTTCACCGCAACGCAAACACTCGATGGCCTACGTTACGTGTTTATTGACCAATCATCCACCGTGACGGGAGGTCCTCGCGCAATTTTGAAGCTTTTGGCAAAGTATAGCATTTTATGGGAAAGTATAGCACCTTATGACCAAAGTATAGCACTATATGGAAAAATATAGCACTTTATTGGCAAAGTATATCACCTTATTGGTAAAGTATAGCACCTTATGCTCTCTGGAAACTCTGCACTTTAAGTTGTCTAAAACCAAATCAGTTTTTTTCACCGCAACGCAAACACTCGATGGCCTATGTTACGTGTTTATTGGCCAATCATCCACCACGACAGGGCGTCCTCGCACAATTTTAAAGCTTTTGGAAAAGTATAGCAATTTATGGGAAAGTATAGCACCTTTTTGGCCAAAGTATAGCACTATATGGCAAAGTATAACACTTTATTGGCAAAGTATAGCACCTTATTGACAAAGTATAGCACCTTATGCTCTCTGAAAATTCTGCACCTTAAGTTGTCTAAAACCAAATCAGTTTTTTTTATCGCAACGCAAACACTCGATGACCTACATTACATGTTTATTGACCAATCATCCACGGTGACGGGAGGTCCTCGCGTAATTTTGAAGATTTTGGCAAAGTATAGCATTTTATGAGAAAGTATAGCACCTTATGGCCAAAGTATAGCATTATATGGTAAAGTATAACACTTTATTGGCAAAGTATAGCACCTTATTGGCAAAGTATAGCACCTTATGCTCTCTGGAAATTCTGCACCTTAAGTTGTCTAAAACCAAATCAGTTTTTTTCACCGAGGTGGATAATTGGTCACGCGATACATAATGTAGGTCATCGAGTGTTGCATGGCCTAAAAAAACTGATTAATATACACAAACTGAGTAGCCAATACAACTTGCTCAGTGCTTATCAAGTTCATTACAGATTATCACTTCTCATACAATTATCACTTGCACATAACATTGAATGAAATTAATCCATGAAGACACTATGGAAATAATCCAAAATCACCACTATCGAAACGTTGTATACATTTCTACTAGATACACTGATAAATTTCTAATAGAAAATTTTATACAACATGATACATTGGATAGTGTATTTGATACAATATACACAAAAGTCATCTTTATATACATAATATAGAAAATTTCATACAATACGATACATTGGATACTACTTGGTACATCATATTGCAGGCTGTAGTTGATTTGCCGTTTAGGTTGCAGTGTGACAGCAATGCGAAGATCTGATTGAATGCAAAGAGTGGGAGATTCTCTCATGTATTTGATTGAAAAGTTAGTGTGCATTGACGAATGGTTTCTGATTGAGCGGTAGCTGTGCATTACGTTAGGTGTTGACGACAATAGAAAATGGTGAGGTGCATCCGGAGGGCGTAGGAAGGCATACCGATGGGCTAAGATCATGGCGGTCCACAAAACCAAACTTCTCTTGGACATTTCATCAAACACCTCTATTGCCTCCTCAACCAATAGCAATATGGCATAACCGCTAATCGTTGTGGTCCAAATAACTATATCCCTTTTGTCATTCCATCAAACACCTTCTATACATCAACCTAGTCACCAAAACATAGATATATATGAGCAAAATTGTTATGCACATATCATTTTCTGAAGCATAAGCTTGATAAGAATCCATTAATTTATAAGAACAAGACATCTTTAACAAGCTATTGCCAAAAAAACCTAAAATTTTAAAAGTTAACATATAGTATTGGAAAACATACAGTATTGGAAAATCCAAAATTTTAAAATGTTAACAAGCTATTGATGTAGGATTAGTGTCTACTATGAGGAGAAATATTAATGGAGGAGAGAGATTTCTCAAGAAGAGAGGGGAAATTAATGGAGGAGGGAGAGAAGGAGAGAGTAATTGAAGATGTGTACCAAATTAAGGGTTGGTGAAGTGGAAGAGTGGCCCGCCATTTTCTCCTTCCATTATCGCCATTGATGCTCTGCTGTTAGCGGTGATTAGAAGAAGAGAGAAAGAGAGAAGAAGAGAGAAAGTGCAATAATGGGTTTTTCAATTTTGGGAAAAATACAGTATAAAGTTAGAGAGGTATAATAGACATTGGGTTTAAATATAAGTCATATAGGTACAATGAGTTTATTGATGTTTAGAAAAGTGGATGGGTTTTTAAATAAGTGGGGGTAAAACTTTGGGTTAAAAGAGGATTTTCCCAAATTTTTATCCTTTGCACCATCACTCTTTTAATATTTGGGACTGTATAGATAAATTATCTGAATTATTTCACTCACACATTTAGCATGATCCCACATAAACATAACTGAACACTGGCCTTTTGTCAGGTACAAGTGCAAAGGCCTGCTTTCAAGTCCATGGCTTCTAATAGGCTCCTTTTCAATGAGGAAGAGTTGTGCCAAACAATTTTCCAGAATAAGCTATGCTGAAACTTTTGGAGAACTTCCTTTATGTGTAAATGCTTGTAGTTTTTTAATCTAGTTTTTAAAGCGCTTTCAAGAAGCGTTTAGTGTTTAGAGATGAGTCATAGACTTTGACGAGTTTGTGCTAAGATGAGTCACATACTTTTTTTGTACTAAGATGCTTGAATTCTGGTTTCTTGTGCAGTGTTGTATTGAGTTGAAACTAGGATAAGGTCTATTACTAGGGGTGCATTCGGTCCAGATACGGTTCGGATATGATGCCTACCATATTCATATCCGCTTACTCATCTCGGATACGGTTACGGATACGGATATACCTCGGTAAGAAAAATTCATATCCATATCCGCTAAAATCGGATACGGTTACGGTTATACATGCGGATATATAAGCGAATATGTATGCAGATACAAAACGGATATGAGAAAGCTAGATAGTATTGAGAAAAACATAGTTCATGTGATACAAAAGAGTTCGTTTATATATTTATTATATCTGAAAAGTTAAGATTAGACATCTTGATCATCAAAATTAACCACAAATCCATAATCTAAGAATCGAAACTATCGTAAGAGTATGACTAATATGTATTCGGATATTTTGGATACGGATACGATATTTCACTATAAAACCTAACCATATCCTATCGGTTATAGATTTGAGTAACCATATCCGTATCCTAACGGATACGGTTACGGATATTTATAGATTTGAGTAACCATATCCGTATCCTAACGGATACGGTTACGGATATTTCCCCGGATACGGATACGGTTTAGCACCCCTATCTATTACTCTTAATTAAGTACTAATATTTTCTGCTCCTGCAATTTCTTTTTGTGATACGCGTCAGACTCATTTCCGTTGAAATTTAGGCCAAGAAATAATGTGCGTTCATCAAAATGTCTAATTAAATGCGTATTCTTCACAAACGTTGGCATCAATTACCAACGTTTTCTTGCCCAACGTTGGTAATTGATGCGAACACTTTTGCAAACGTTGGTAATTGCCAACGTTTTTTTTGCAAACGTTGGCAATTGCCAATGCTTGTGAAAAAATGTTGGCAATTGCTATCTCCAACAGTTTTTCTAAAATATTCTTCAAAATAGGGAAACAAAAGTCATATTCTCTAAATTATTTTTGCTCCAACTCCAACAGCTTCCCCATTTTGAAGAATCCTGCATTTATTACAATAATAAAAATATTCTACATCCCTATTTTGGGATGCTCTTATGCATTGGAATAATAAAAATATTCTACATCCCTATTTTGGGATGCTCTTATGCATTGGAACTGCCCCCATGGCTTTTTTTATAATTACAGATTTTATTTTATATTTATTTTCTCATCCATCCCGTTTTGAAGAACGTGCTACATTTATGACAAAGCTTTCCCCAAATATTTAAAGAATGCCCCAGATTTGGGGAAGATTCCTATTTTTCTCCTCCATCCCTATTTTGGGGAATGAGATGGAGAATCTGTTGGACCAAAAAAAGTCTAAAATTTTTCAAAAGTGAGAATACCAATAAAATGGAGAAGCTGTTGGAAATGCTCTTAACTACACTCTCCCTTTCAACACTTGTATCATACATTGAGAATTGTTATAATAATGTTTTTAAAATGTAGTTAGGTGTGATTTTAAACGTTGTTAATGAGTACTTTTTTTGTCGTGATATTTTAACGATATTTTAAAAAGATATAATCCTAAACTTAATTTAGTTATAGAATTCTACGTCTTTTAATATTCTATATATTTTCGGAGTACTAAATTTTAAAATAAGCTTGATTTTACCTTTCCCTTTTTCCCTTCGTGGTGGCAGCAGCAGTATTATGTATTTAGCGGGTGTCAAATTTTAACAGAAATCTATTTTTTTATTCCTCCTTGGGGGCTTTTAGCTGGGTAGTTTAGGAGATAGAGGTTTGCCATAGATAGGATCTTAAATTGATTTAGTTTATACTATTCTATCTTTTGTAATACTGTATATCTTAATTTTATAAAATTTCACTTCTATTAGACATCCAGCATAATACTTTGATAATAAAAGAAATCCAACTTAATACGTGAGATATCTTCGAAACTCATCCTCATCCCTAGCACAAAAGAAATGTTATTGGTTGGGACAAATTGGGACTAAGTAGGAAAGTTATTCCAATGAATCAATTTTATCTCTTTGGGATATTTTTGAGTGGAGCAAAGTGGGATAATCAGACAATTTGAGCATTTGATTTGACAATTCATGTGAGATAATTGATGATGTGACACCTTATTAAAAAACAATTTTATCTATTAATTACTTTTAAATTAACTTATCCAATTAGTTTAATATATTATTTAGTATATTATTATAATATAAACATTATTTTAATTTATATTAAAATATAATATGGTGTACTATAATTTCTGACAATATTATTAATTATGATATTATATTATATTATATTACATTATATTAGCATGCTATACTACATAATAGTTAATATAATATAAGATTAATATATTTAATATAATATTTAATATAATACATTATTTTATTTATACAAGAATATAATATGTTATACTATAATTACTAATTAATATTATTAATTATTATATTATATTATATTATATTAGTATCCTACATTATATAATAATTGATATAATATATGAACAATGTATTTAATGTAATACTCTAATAATATATTATAATATAATATTATAGTATATAATGTACTGTATAAAATAGTATAATATTTTACTTTATATATAATAACTATAATAATATTTTATATAGTAATATATTATTAAAATATTATATAATATTATAATAAATATGTTATACTATAATTACTAATTAATATTATATAATAATATATTACATAATTATTATATAATATTATTAATGTATGTTATTAATATATTAATATATGTTATTAAAATATTATTACATTATAATAATATATGTTATTAATATATATATAATAGTATATTATATAATAGTATATTATATATATATAGGACTATTATATGATTGTTATTAATATAATTAATAGTATATTACATACTTATACTAAATGTAATATTAATATATGTGTGTTAATACATGATATTATTAATATATACATAATATACATGTTATTATAAATGATTAATATATGTTATTATACAGTAGATATTTTAATATATGTTATTAAATTAAGGTTCATTTTAGAACATTTACACGATTTCAATTTCACTTACACGTTATACCTCCTACGGAGTTCATTTATCATTTAAGGAGCATAAATCGCCTTATTTATATTGGCCACCTAGCACATCATAAAGATAATTTAGGCCGGTTTTAGCGCACGTGGGACCCTTCTGCTTGTACCCCCTCTGCTTTGCCCTTACACCTTAGCCGCCGTCGAATTCCGGCCACAGCGCTTTGTGCTCTTGGGCGGGCCACCCCCACCACCGGATACCGCACACTCAGTACATGTGTATCTATTGCTGCCTACTAAATGATTTGACCACCTCACATCGGTTATCTCCCACTCTGAGCAACTAAACCTCCAGTCTGGCACCTATAATAATACTTCCGATGGTGCTTCGTGAAGGGTCTAAGTTAACTTCGGGCATATCCCCCAAAGGCTATGATTTCACTACCTACCTAATCTACCTATCGGAGTATAATTAGATTGTCAGTTGTCTTAGTTTTCGCGCCCGGGCTGCATGTGCTGCATCGTGCTTTCTTCCCTGCATGTCAGATCCATGTTCGCAACTCTATGTCGCCAGCGTTTCACATGCAGTCCATTCTCCATTGGACTTACCGTTCAGGCCAGGTGTAACGTCATGGGGTCGACTTACTTATATGTGACTTCGACAAGTTTTTTGGGGGACGATTCCCATTGATATATCAGTCACATATACCAGTACCTCCTAGCATAAGAGTATGAGTCCGCACCCTTAGCATCCAGCCGATCCCGTCCATCACCATCGAGGGCGGTCCTATCCCACATAGTGGACACAAACTATCTTATTTAGTGAAAGCACATTTTTTATACATCCCTCAGTTCTCACAGACCGTTCTTCGGATGCACTGCTAAGCTCACTCGAGTCTTACTCATACTATGCCGGCGGCGCTTCTATTTCTGACATCTGCACTCTACAATCGTCACACTAGGACGCATTCCCTC